TGTACACTCGTAGGTGTTACACGCGGAGATTTTACACTCGTGGGTGTGCCGTCGTCGCGGGGGGGGTGGTGGTGGGTGGTGGTGGGTGGTGGTGGGTGGTGGTGGGCGGTGGTGGGTGGTGGTGGTCGGTCAACTGGGTCCGGAGATTTAGCGTGGCCTCCTGCGCAGTCGCAATGTATTTATTTATGTATGCGTCTTTTTCTTTTATTTATTGGTATATGTCACTGCGCTCGCTCTCTCACACTGCAGCTGAGCCCTTTTCAGGCGTTGCGCCAACACTGCAATGCCCCACCTTCTCTGCCCACTACTGTTTTGTCAATGGGCAGCTCCGGGCACCAAACACAGCTCTACCCTGGACTACCCCTTCTTCTATTCAAGAGAGGTTTCGCGCGCCCTTGTATGTGGTGGAGCCACGTACCCGCTTCCCTGGTCCTGATTTATGGGCGACGCCCACCAGATACCAGATGAGAATCCTTCCTTCAATTCCTTCGCTCCTTTTGCGTCGTCATAGCCTTGTCAAATCTCCACCATAGCGAGCCTTAGCTGCACCTCCTCCAGCGCATTCTTCACTGCCGGTGCCTTGAAACATGAAGGTCCTACAGACTACCACCACCGACTTTGCGCAAGGCTCTTGCGCAGTCGACACGTCCTGAGCTCCTGAAGCCACCGCTCTCTTTCCGACCTCCCTGCCAGCTCTCGAAGCGACATGTCCCCACCAGCCGGTGAAGCTCCTTTCCCAACCTTGTTGGCCGCGCCGTTCTCTCCGCAGTCCTAATCATCGGCGCCCGCTCCACGACGTCCTGCTCTGACATGGAAGAACTTGCGCCTCTTCTCCCTCTCATGGAAGACGCATGCCTCAAGCAGATCTTGAGACCCCCTTCCAGCATCGGCCCGGGATATTTGCAGCTCCGTTGTCGCACTGCACCACCAAGGCCACGTTGGACTTGAAGCTCTCCGACGTCGCCATGGCCGAGCTCACCGCCCGATCTAGCACGAGCTCTCTGCAGCCACACAAGGTGGCCAGCTTCGCAATGCTCCAACCACGGTCCACCAGCACGTGCAGATCAGCCGCTGTGAGCCCGGCCGGTGACCCGCAGAACGTCAGCTCTGCCAGCAGGTCATCCACCATCGTGGCAACTGGATGTCTCATGTGTATTCTGAGGAGCTTGAGAAATTCTTTTCTCTGCAAACATGTTGTGGGCTCTGCCCCAGGACCCCCAATCTCACTTCGTTTGCATAGCACAATTTCGCCTTGCCCTTCTTGACAATAAGCCAGAAACTTGCCAAATGTTGGGAGGCGGCAGTTTTATCTTGTGTCTTGTTACGTGGGCATGTTTCCAGGACAACAAGGGACAACAGCGAAATCTACCTGATGAAACAAAAACTGCCTTGCCCTGAGGATGCAACTTAGGTTTCCCTTGCACTCCTGTGACAGCATAAGCAAACTTGAAAGTTCCAATAACCCAATTCAACCTCCAACGACTCCTCATTGGCCATGATGCCAGCAAGCAGTGGGTTCGGAGGTTCGCAAGCCCTGCCCGGAAGTCACATCCAACAGATCATGGCCACACTTAATGGACTTTTGCAAATGTATCAAGTGTGGGCTCCATTTTGCACAGCATCTGTTGTGCGGGTGCTTTCAATCACGGGATTGTGGGGCGTGCCCAAGTTTAGTGTCACATTGAATGCATCACCCCTACAAGCCGTCTGTGCCTCAGGGGTATTGTCGTCGTGATGGTGTCGGTTGAAGTGATCTCAGATCAAAGCAAAGTATATAATCACAATATGAGTGTCATAGTCATAGTGTTCTACCCAGCCTGATCCAGCCCCCAACAAAAGACACCGAAAACCAAGGACACTTAGCGGCTGTCAATCTGGAAGCAGTCCAAGCTGCAGTAAATGTGGTGGAGGTCGTGATAGATCGTGTTGCAGTCTTGGTTCAAAGCTCCACCGTGTTGCAACACAACATTGCACACTCAAAAAATGTTTCTGCACTCTGCACCAACATAATTCTCGTAAGTTTCAAACTGTACTGCTTGTGGTCATAGCACTTGTCACCTTGAAGCTTTCAGACTTTCTAGTTTGAATGGTCTCTGGTCGAAGATGAAACATGGCTGTTCTCTGAGCTTTGGACTGAAACTAGTGTTGTGGAGACTGTGGCAGTGACTGCAAGAGGAACCGTAGTGGATGTTGCAGTCACACTTGTGCCTTACTCGTATCTTTGGTTCAAGGACTGAGTTGCAACTTACCGAAGTCCTACATCCTTCATTCACTTGCACAAGATGAAACAACTGAAACATATGTTGGCCAATAGGGTCGAGCACCAGAACATTCTGGACATAGCACACACGTTGCCCAATTGCCTCGGTTTTTTGCAAGCAATTGCCCTGCTTGCCAAGAGTACAAAGTGGACTGAGAGCAATACACAGCTGGCTCCAAGGTATGTAATTGATCGCGTCGTAACACCTTATATGACGCATCTTTACTCCAATTGAGAGTGTGCTATCGGCGCTGACGTGGCCCTGGGCTTGAAGCAGTTGTAAACAAGCCTTGGACTGAAGCTGAGCCGAAGTTGTTGACCTAAATCATGGCTGGCTCTAGGTCCTCTAGGTTCTAAGAGCAAGGCGGAGCAAGAATTCCGTTGTTTCATCGATATTCTACTTACAGTACCTACCATTGCAACTGCACTTCATCTCTTGGCACATCGCGCTATCTGAACTGTCGTCTGGTCGCTCTGTGCAGCTTCTTCCAAAGATCCGTCCGATCCATCAAAGACCTTGGCTCTGGACTGTGTGTCTGCCCATCTGCGTGTGTATTGTTGTCAAAACCTCACATTCAGTCTTTCTTTCACTCAATTGATGCCAGAGCGCTCTTCCCGGATGTTTCATGTTTGGTTGGGATTTTTGGAATGCCTGATAGCAGCCTTTCTAGACTGCCACCGAGACTTGCACCCATACTGTCATTGTCATGTTTGCAGTTTTCGAGTGAGTTGTTCTTCCTACACACGTTCCAAGCGCATTCATGTTTACACGATGTTTCGAAAACCCTATATAATCTATATATATATATATTTTTTACATAACTTCAGCAACTCAGGGCTGCGCTGGTGCGCTGCCCCCACCAGATCCTGATCCACCTGCTTCATGGAGGCATGTGAGATGGTGTCAAGGGGAGAGTGCACATGCTAAGTTTCTTCGTTCTCGTGGCACCTCTATTGTGAATATTGATTTAGCATAACACCTCTACTGTGTGCCTGATTGGCCACCAGATGCTGCAGAAGTCGTAGGTGGTAATGTAGTATTCCTTTGAATTGGCCTCTGTCAGGAAGCAGCAAGGAGCCAAAGTGCTAGAGAGCCACGGCTTTAGCTGTCACACGACACAGGCTTAAAATAGATATAGAGATATACGTGTCGTATCACAGGGGACTCCGGACTCCGAAGCGGGTGAGAAACGAAAAGGCACGTATATATATATATATGTAAAGACTCACGCCGGTTTCCCATTTTCATCATGCAGTCCAGACCTAGTTGGTCAAGTAAAACTAGCATTCATGCAATCTCAAACACTTATTTAAAATAGGGCCTCCATGGCCCGAGTCCCCCCACTGTACCTCGCCACACCGAGGTTACAGTGAGCCAGGTACTCTGGGGTGTCCTGGGCCCCGCCACACCGGGTACCTCCAGGCCCCCACCCCCTGTTGCGTTCTTCCTTTAGCATTTTTATACCGCCGGCAGTGTTCGAATTCGAGAAAAAAAGGTCATTTCCTGGATTTCTTGCTCTTCCTTCTCCTGGGCACACAGCGGGCGGGCCGCGGAGGGGCTGTGAGCCCAAACCCTTCAAAAGAAACTGAGTCTACCTAGTTCGTCTTAACTAACGGGGACGTAAGCCCAAAGACTCACGCCGGTTTCCCATTTTCATCATGCAGTGCAGACCTAGTTGGTCAAGTAAAGCAAGCGTTCATGCAATCTCAAACACTTATTTAGGGCCTCCATGGCCCGAGTCCCCCCACTGTACCTCGCCACACCAAGGTTACAGTGAGCCAGGTACTCTGGGGTGTCCTGGGCCCCGCCACACTGGGGTACCTCCAGGCCCCCGCCCCCTGTTGCGTTCTTCCTTTAGCATTTTTATACCGCCGGCGGTGTCAATTGCTCTTCCTTCCAGGTCCCCCAGTCCTGCCCATTCCGGCATGCTCAAGGGGTTGGAGCTCAAGAGACTTAGACCTCTCATACTGTCGCTTAAAACCACGTGCCTGTGTTGGAGGCTAGCTGAAATTCGGCTAGGACAGCAAGTCCTTCGTTAATGTATATCCTTGCGGTCTTTGCCGCCTGCCATCTACCAGCTGTGAGGAGCTTATCTAGCGACCCATGTTTTGCAAAATAGGAGGTTGCGCCTCCCCTTCGCAGACTGTAGGGTCTAAAAAAGAATGCTCACTCAGCCCCGTGGCTTCGAGGTATTTGGCAAACTTCCTTCTCCAAATGTGAGCCGCTTCACAGAGTGAGGTCCTTGTAGAGGAGGTGGCCTTCCACTGCCACAGTCGGCGCTGGGTGTCTTCTTCCCTAATTGCGACACTTTCAGCCGCTCCTTGCCTGCGGCCGCCTTTGGTCATGCCCAACGAGATGACTGCAACGCTTCGCGGGCCTTGCTGTTCCACATGCGACTTCTTCACTCCCAGCAGTTCTCCAGTGCGAAGTAAACCATGAAACCCAAGCAGGAGCGACAAGGCGAACAAGTCATCGCGCCTAAAGAGACTATACCCCACAAGAATGTCCAAAGCTTCCGTAGGAAGTGGCGGTGCTTGGCTTGGAATCTCTGTCGACGACTATGTTTCCATAAGTCTCCAGGAGGATGATAGCCTCCCCTTAACTGCTGGTTTGTAGTCTTGAATGGATGCTATAGTGTCACAGGCAAGGGCACGCCCTTCCCCCGCTTCCCATAGGATTTCGATATAGTGGCTAAGACAGAAATCAAGGATGGAAGGATCATCCGGGAATCTACGGCTCTCCTCTCGGAGATAGGTCCTGAACCTTTCTAGCGCTTTGTCATAGCGTGCCCTGGTGGCTGGTTGTACCGCCAGGTTGCGCAGCGGCCTCAATGCTCGTCTCTGCTGTTGTCGCGTTGCCTTGTCCTTGCCTTCAACATGTACTTTCCGGTGGCTCACCATTTCTTCTTCACAGGTAGGCGCGACGGCCGATCGGCCGGGTTGTCCTTCGTATGGACATACGCCCATACGGCATGAGAACCTGTGGCGAGGAGCAAGGCGTTCACACGACTCATAGTTCGACGAAGTTTGCGGCTGCTGCTTCTCCCCCTTGAGAGAGCGTGGAGGCACACCAAGCTGTCCACAAGATGCACAAATTTGCTTCGGAGCGCCTGCTTTTTCACAAAGCGCCATTGTAGGGAGGTAAGAGCGGCCCGCAACTCCAGCACATTGATGTGCTCTGGTGAGCCTTGCCATCTCCATCCCATGACTGTCTTCCAGGTCCACAATCCCGCTGGTAGACTAGCTCGTAGACGAGGGTAGCGGAGTGTTTCTTCACTGGGTGCCTGCACCATGATGTCCTCTCCTTTCAGGCTGACGAGGTTTAGGAGTTTGGAGACTAGCTCATACTCCCCTTCACCCCCATCATGAGCTTCACTTCCTTGGTGTTGCTTGGCCATGCATTGAATGGTGTAGTCTTTTGGGAATCCCATGATGGTTTCTCTTTCCTGGATGTTTGGGATCCGGCAGGGCCCATTGCTTTCTTGAACTAGGAGACGGTGAGAATTGGTAGGGCGGAAACCTGAATTTGTCTTTCTCCCACGCTTCTCTCTCCTGCTCCGTCAACTTGTCCAGTCCTGCTGGTCGTCTACCTGGATGGGTCCTGGGCCTCGATGTAGTGAAAGTAGGGAAAGGCTCTTCTGAAACTTTGCAGCATCCCGGCGTCAAAAAGTCTTTAGGCTCCACCTGGGCGCTCAATTCGACCTCGTTGAAAGCAGCATCGCCGATATCCTGCTGAGGGTGGACGCGGACCCCTGGGCCCGGCGAAACCTCCCAGTCCATCCAGTACAACCTGGGCCGACGAGCTAATGACACGCCACTCGCTTCGATCTTCACTGGGGTGTTTCCAAAGTCCTTGGACATGATCTGCAGGTCTTTGCGGTCCATTGAAGCCATACTTTCCGCAAGGTATCGGACTTGCGCCCAGGGGAAATGGAGTTTGAGGAGGTCTTTGATGCGTCGGACGTGTGTAAACAAACAACTTCGCTGATCTCTCAACGCTCCTCACTATTCAGTCCACTCACCCCCTGGCGTGGAGGACCAGCACCTAATAGGATCAATGAGGCCTGTGAGAACCTGCCTGCCCAACTTCTCACCATCTCCTCATCCACAGCCTCCACTCCTTTCTCAATGAACACGGTCGATGGGAACTTACTTTCAAGGACCCTACTCGCCTCCTTCTTCACCTCCACACTGATGTGGCCTATCACCGGCAGGCCACAAGCGTCTGCCGCTACCCGTAGTGCTCCGATTCCGTCGAACAGCCCGACTGTGAGGACCGTGCAGATGTCCGCAGGTTCCGGGATGTCGCCTCTAATGCTGGCTCGGGCTGGGCTTCCCCAAAACCTGACAGTGCTCCTAGTGAGACCTCCTCCAGTGGTGGAGGCATCACTTGCAGTCACCTCTGGGCTCACCTCCAAGCGAAAGTCCATTTGCGCAAGCGGCACCAATGAAATGAACCTCGACACCTCAAGCTTGACCTCATAAGGGATCTCCAGTTTGACAACCGGTGGATAGTTCTTGAACTCTTCAACAAAGCGCCAAACGGCATTCAGTGAGCCAGAAGCGGTCTCCTGAACATGCTCATGTAGACGAGGCCCCCTGCAACCACCTGCATTTGCTTCTGAGAGCACCTCTTCTCCCCTAATCGGAGACTACCCAGCTGCACGTATTTGAGCACCTTAACTGGCTTGGGGTAGGCGATCCCTTTGACCCCGTCGATGATTGCTCCCTGTACCTCCGCCTTCAACTCCCGAGCAACTCCCTTCTTAGGGCGACGTGGGACTCCCCACCTCTCATATTCTGCCCGCAAGGCCAGGACGCTGGCCCCTTCTCCAGGGCGTCGAAATTGTCGAGGTAGATGCGATGTAGGGACTTCGAAGATGAGAAAGGTCTATCTTTACGGATTTCCTGTTCCGGTCTGAGGGCCTCACCTATAGTGTCCCCAGCACGTCTCACCATAACCCGGTGTACATGTTGAGCCAGGCTTACACTGTTCTTGAAGCCCATGGGCAACACCTGTGACGCTAGATAGTATGGGCCATCCTCATCTGGCCGCATCCCTCGAGGGATAGGTCTGTTGAACCCCAAACATGATGACCATTCCCGTGGAACCTGGAAAATATAAAAGAAACACTTCACATCCTCTGACGATATCACCAGGCTCATCAGGTGCAGTGGGCTCATCGTGGCCCAAGTGGGCAGCGTCGCAACGTCTCCGTCGATCGCTCGACAGATGAGATTGGCTGGACGAAGATCCACGATTAATCTATGAATAGGGCATCCGTCTTTCTCCTCCCCTTTAGGGACCCCGAAGAGTCCGTTTAGGAGGGGGCTGCCATTTACCTGGAACAGCTCGTCTTTCTCCTTTAACGCGATGCACACGCCCTTTCGCAGCAATCCCTCGCATACCCCCGGCCAGGCCTCGTCTCCCACCAGCACTCTTGGCGGCTTCATCGACTTTTGCATCTCCTCAGGCAGGATGTACGATCACGTAACGACGACACCCCAACTCACACCTCCTGCAGGGGGACCAAGCCTACCTCTGTAGGCATGGCGGGGGACAAGTTGTCCCAGGCGGTGTACTGGGCGCAGAGAACTTCCTCTCCGCAATAATCGATGGTTTTCACCTGAAAGAAGTCATGCCAGGATGTGTCCTCAAATACCTCCGACCACTCTACAACCTCATCCGCCCGACTCCGGAGAAATCGCGACACTTTTTGTTGGAGGGGAATGGGGGAGAATTCACTCTTCACCTCAACGCCGTACAAACTGTTCAACGCCATGCACATGCTCTGGATGATCAAAACCACACTCTCTGGCGCCCGCAACATCTCCCTGAGCACCCCCATCTCAGTGGGCAACGGGAAGACGTCACCCTCGCATAGGTAGGTCGATCTGGATGCTTGACTCAACCAAGATGGAGGAAACCCAGGAAAACACAGACATCAATCTCTCTCCCACAAACGGCGGCTTCATGCAACTTTTTCGCAAGGTGAACGAGGGCACAAAGTCGTCGTCGCCCGCTGTCTCAACCAGGGCAACCTCGTTGAAATGGCGCCTCTTGGCTGCTGTACCGACGGTGGCCTCATCCAACAATGGGTTCGCCACTTTGTCGTGGAAAAGATCTGCTGGGCCTTCATCCTTAGGTCCATTCGCACTCACTTCACTGACCAGGGCAGCCTCCTTTAAATGGCGCCTCTTGGCCTCTGCTCCCAGCATGGTCGACTCGGTTACTGGCCTGACCACGCTGCCATGCACCGGAACCGGCTGGTTCCCTCCTCCGGGTCGGAACCCTTCTCTCCCATGCGATCGGCTCCCTGCTTTAGGAGTCTTGCTTCTTGCTCTGGTCCTTTTCCTTTCCTTTTTTGCGCTTTCCTTTGCCATCCTTGCGCTTCCCTTTTTCCTGATGCCATGGCGTTTCTCGCCAGCTTCCTGACCAGTCGCTCTTGCCTTTCCCCTTGCTTGCTTCGGCCCTGGCGCGGTTCTCTTCTTTTGATTCTCTGATGGCCTCTCTGGCTTCGGCTCTGCTTGAAATGATTGGCTTTTCCAAGGGCGCCAGCTCGATCCTCTGCGAGATTGACCAACTGGCGCATCTGCCGCCTCGGCCACGCGGCCTGCATCAACAGGCCAGGCACCAGCTCAAAGTCAGTGCCCCGCGGGATTGCCCCCCTGTCACCCGTGCGCTCATGACCTGGCATGTCCTTCTGATTGATCCCAGATCCCTCCGGCTGCATTGAGGAGGCTGTCGCGACATGGCCAGTGGTCAAGGCGCCCGGGGCTAGGCGCCCTATCCTCCTCACTTTCTGCGTCTCTTCGAACAGCTCGCCACTCTCCTCATCGTACGAGTCGCTGCTGCTTCCCGTCGATGAACTCTCCGACGAACTTTTCTTCTTCTTCAACTTCTTCGCAGCCTTGGCGGCAATCCTCTTCCTTACCTTCGGATCGGGATCCATCCCAGTGCCTGCGAATACGCTCTGCACCAGCAGCATCCATGACTTTCCTACTGAGGAGGTCTTGCTCACTACCTGAATCGACTAGCCAGGAGAACCTGCCTTCCCTCGGTGCCGGACTTGCAACAATAGTTGGGATAGTGGTAGGACACGTCTTCAGTTTGATCAAGCTTCGGCGAGCACGGCACGAGAGCGATGACTCGGCGCACAGAAAGCGACATGACGGTGCGTCTGAACAATCGAAGTTCCGAACGACTTCAGCCAACTGCCTAGCTTTTACTTTGGCCATGTTGGTTGCCTTCGGGTCGCTCTTGGGCACACGATCGCTCGCGGCGTAATGTACGCTGTACTTGCGCGGGCGCTTGACCATCTTGCAGCGTTCCCCGCGAGCGGGGGTTGTACGAATCTCAGGCTTCATGACGAACGTAATCCTTCGGGCGGATGGCTTGGACTTTCTCCGTGCCGGGGGAAGACAGGGCTTCTTGAGACAAGACTGACCAGGCACACCAGTTGCTAAACATGCAAACCGATTGCTCAGGCAAATGGCAGCATTCTTTGGGCCCCCTTTGGCTTTTCCTGGCTTTGGGGATTCCTTCCGTGGCTTCGTCTTTGGAGTCGGTGCTGCCTTTTCTCCATGTTTGAAAAAGCACTTGTCTCCCCTCCTACAAGTACCTTGTTGATCGTACCTGCACGGGGTCCTTGCCATCTCTTCCTTAGTCATACGCTTCTTCTCTTTGTCTGTGCTCTTGTCCCTCGACTCATTCCACTCTCGTGACGGTTGACGCTTCTTGGAAGGGTCGCGTTTGGGCTTTTCATGCTTGAACTTGCAATCCTTCCCTTTTGCACACTTACCCTCCAAAAAGGCCCAACAATTCCCTTTCTCACGGGACGTTGGCCGCCCACGCGATGGAGAACGCTTCCGCCGAGGATCGACTGTTGGAGCTGCATTCTTCTCACTTCGGTCACCTGGCTTGAGCCGATTTCGCTCAGCGATGCGCGACCGGTTCTCTCGAAGGCGTTCCCGATCTATCAAATCCTTGACGCTTTGCAGTAGGAACTTGTAAGACCGATGATGATCACCTTCCTTTGCACGATCAAACAGACCTATATCATACCTCAAGATTGCGCTAGTTCGGATCTGCCTCAAAAGGATGTCCCGAAGCACGTTTTCGTGCGGTGGTTCGGGCATACCGGCGATGGTAGCGTCCCAGCGATTGATGAAGCGCTTCAAATCTGCCACGGTGTCGCCTACCTTCACCACATTGAGGAGATCTTCAACCCTGTAAAGGCTCTGCTTCTTCTGAGGTCTTGAAATAATCATCAAACATGAGAAGAATCATCCTTCCACGAACCTGGATGCCTAGCTTTGCCTTCTCTTCTTTGTAGTTGATGATTCGGTTAGCTAGGTCACCCTTTGCACTTCTGGTTAACGCAGCCGCCAACTTGGTATCCAACGTTGTGAACTTACCAGGGTTTGACAACCGCTCTTCCAGAACCTTTCTCTCATCAACAGTGTTGTAAACCTCCATCAACCAGTCCCAGGCTGCGTCTGGCTTATCAGAACATGACTTGATTTCGTCCCTCACATGATGTTTCCACTGCCGATAGGTTTCAGGGGTTGGCATATCATTCAGCTTGATGTGATCTGCTTCCTTAACCTTTGGCTTCTCATCCGATTCCCTTTGAGTGAGTGACTTGACCAGTTCAATCACCTGCTCAGAGGTGATAGCGCCTGACGAAGCTGGCTTGTGGGGCTCACGAATTGAAGGTGCAGGGCTATGAAACATGTGAGTTGGTGTCTTGCCACCGTCTGCTGCAGTACCTCCATAAACAGGAAGCACCGGCTTGATTGGAGCGGCGGCCCCGGGTGGGGCATCACCGGTGACGGTGGCTGCAGGCACTTTGGGTCCAAACAACCCACTCAGACGTGCACTAGCCTCTGCTGCAATGGTCTCTAAGGTACCTTTCTTTTCATGCTCGCCTTGCCTAGGCGTCGCTACTGGTGAAGCAACTACGCTAGTTGGGACATACTCTGGCTCGTCAGTGACTTTGTTGTCGTGATTTGTTGTAGGCTATAGTTCTCATTTTCTGCCTCTCTCAAATCACGCTGAAGTTTGAGCTCAGGCTCATCAAACTCTGCACGGAGTTTCACTACACCTTGTTCAGCACTCTCTGTGATTGCATTCACTGTTTGCTGACACTCGTGCGTGATTTGCGTACGCAAAGAATCCATCTCTGCTTTCTTTGCTTCAGCTTCCAATGCTCTGTCGTTTTCTAGATTGAAGATGCGTGCTATGGCAGCGCTAAGCTCTGCTTGCAACTTGTCATAGCTAGACTGGGCTTGTTGTTTCACTGATCTAACCTCCTCACGGTGTCTGCCTTCTACCTCAATAATCGCCTGATGAAACTTGGCTTTTACCGTATCCATCCATTGCGCTAATACCTCCTTGTGCCTTCGTTCTGCCTCAGCAATGACGGCGTCCTCGTTACCGTTGTACACCTGCTGAATGTTTTGCTGCACGAATTGGAAGTATGCCGTTACCGGAGCTGAACCCATGGGATCATCTAGATCTACATTGGGCTCAGTCGCGACACTGGCTGGCACAGCGACTGACGATGTGGCATTACCAGGGAGAGCGAGAGCGTCCATGGCTGTGTGGTTAGAGCACTACGGCTGATAACCTATAGAAACAGCCGCTAAGCTGCAACTTCTGTTCTGGGCCGCGAGCTACGATAGTTGTCCAACATGACATCCTACATATGTGCAAGGTAAAAGTGTACATATTACATGGAGTGAAAATACAAAATCCAGAGCTATCTTATCAACGTTGGCGCAGTTCGGAGGACAAACTTCAAATACACCCCAGACCCCAGACCCCTGAAAATCACAAGTGGCCGAAGAGCGTCAAGGGACCCACAGTCAGATTGCAAGATACACTCAGCTTATTAAGGATCCACGCATCGCAACAATAGTTACGTAAAATTAGATAGCATGATGACATATCACCACACCGGAGGTTGCCACGTTCCACCGTAATACCATGGCACACACACACATACCCCATCGCACAACACTGGTCGAAACTTTGCTTAATATTCTGCCAAAGACTGTTCGTATCATTTCTTCCAACGTCGCTTCTTGCAGCATGAAGCCCTAGCGGTCCTAGCCTAAACGTAAACATTCCATCTGCAGCAGACCTGAAATGAAGCCAGTCGATTGATGTCGGTTTCTTTTGACTCAATCTATTTGCATGTGAGGTGGTTCACTGTGGTTCAGTGTCTCAACCTCTGAGGCATGCAGCGTGGTTTCTGGCTCTGTGCTTGGAAGCAGAATGGAGGCACATTCTCCACCTGGGAAGTGAAGTCAGGAACGTGAGCTATTGCAGACATTAGCTGCCTGCATGCCTTGCATTTCAATACTTGTTGTATGGTTGTAACTGTTTGAGGGCTTGACACGAAGCGCAGCCAGGCCATCCGCACTTTTCAATCCAAAGATGTGTGTTCTCGTAGCAAAGATCTCCTCAAGGGGCTCTACTAATGATGAAGTCTGAAATTAATGCACTTTGTGGACCCTATTAGGAACAAGTGCATCGCTACTAGTAACAAATGCCTTACTAGTAGTAGCAAGAAGCTATTAGAAACAAGAAGCATCTTTCTCTTTTCCTTTTTAGACCCGTCTTCCTTCTCAAGCTCGTTTGATTTCATTCCGATTGAGGACCCAACTACACTCAATTGCCAGCCCACGGGTCGTTGTGTAAAAAGTCACCTGGTTTCACTTCGCCGCTGAGCACACTGGTTTGATGTTCATGTCGTGAAGAACTCTCTAGGGCCACAGCAGTTCTCGTCTTGGTGCTTGTAGTCTTAGGAAGTTGGAGAAGCGACTAGCCACGACACACATCGAAGCCTGAAACAACGTGCGTCCATGGTGCTGTGTGAGTTCCAGTTGTAGTTGTGGTGCATTCCATAGGGCCTTGCAACCAGACTGTGGAGAATTCTTGATTCCATTGTGCTAAAACGATTTGCGGAGACCGTCATTCACAAATGCAACTATTCTATGCACATGTTTGTCATTGGTAGCTTCAGCTTTTTGTGTTGCTTGAATAGCTTGAATAGCTTGCCCCCCACCTTGGGCACCTTGCACCCCAAATGGGCTTTCGAAGAAGTTTGCATGGGGCTCACAAAAGGCATACAAGGCCTCACCATTTTGCCATGCCCATGTTTAACATGCAAACTTCTCTCACTTTCTGAAGCACCACGCATCATAGATATAGCAGTGCTCGCCGTTTCTGCTACACTGGATCACCTCCATTTTGCACAGTGGCCAGGTGATCCAAATAGGAAAAAACACCAGGTTTCGATGGCCTCCTCTTCCGGTGCGCATCCATCAGCCTCGACAGGTCATGTGCAGGTTCGGTTCTGGACATGAAAACACACAAAAACGTTCTTTCTTTAGCCCGCTCCCCCCACTTAATTAAGTAGGCGCCTACTTAATTAAGTAAGGGAGAAGTTAGTAGCTACTCAAGCTACTAGACATGGACGCAGGATAGCTCGCACTCGCACTAATGATTTGGTTCCTAGATTTGATGTGCTGAGGCCAGTACCCTTGGTCCAGGGCCACTGCAATCAGCTTCAGATTGCCCATATGCAGTCTAGCGGAAGCTTTGCTAAAGGACACAACACAGTGCATGTGCAGCTACACATCCTGATTGGTAAAATGATCAATCAACACTTAAGAGGTTAGCACTGGCCTGCAAGTACAGCGCAAGAGCAGCCTTCGTTCTCAGTTTTTGCAAGTCTGACGTCCCAAATAGAATAAGCACTTCCCTAATTTGTCCAAAGACCTTTTCTGACGCGTTGACACGATGATTGAAAGCAAAGCATTGGCCATTGAGGTCAGCTCCAAGAATGCAAAGGGAGGTTGCCATCGCCCATTCCAGCTCATGCCAATACGGGCATATTATTTTACAGTAATATGCGTGTGAGTTGGCACCCATATACTTTTGAAAGTGGAGTACTGCGTCACTGCGCTGTACGTGCAACTAAAGGCAAGCAGGAAAAGCCGTGTCATGGAGCACTGGAGCACTGCAACAGTGTGAACAGCAGCGTCAGTGTTCAATTTATGCTTGAGCCTTGCAAAGGCGTTCATCCTGCAATACTCCAAGGACAAGGAATGCTTTAGCATTTAGCATAGTCTTATAGAGCCCCACAATACTGCGCTTGTAGCAGTATTTTGTCAGTTTAGTTTCACGACGGTTGACGTTGCTCCAGCAGGCAGGTTGGAAGCTCTGTCCAAGAATTATGCCTCAGGCAGCATCACATGCACTCACTTCATTCCCGAACGGTATTTCCCACTAGAAGCTGGCTCTCACCTGCGCATCTTGTTGAGCATCATTCAGCAAAGCTATGCAAGGCCATCAGAGTCCTTATCCCAGGCGTCTAAAGAGTCTAAAGTCTCGTACGGCGTAGTAACTGTAGTAACCACATTGTATGTTAACCAGCGGCCCAACATACGACTCTCAACAGTGTCATGTGTTCACATATTGATAAGCTGAGAGCACTACAAACTGGATGCTGGTGACCTTTCCGTAAAGTCCTGAGGCTGACACAACACCATTGTCAAACCGTCTTACCCTGCCAACTAAGTTGCTAACATCTCGTGCTCACTGAAAACGGCCAAATGCCACAGGAATGCGAAACCTGGGGGGGCCCAACGAAATTCCCAACCAGGGCAGGCCAATCAAGGCCGGGTTTGTCAACAAATGCCAGCAAAACAAGACAAGTGAGCTCGCGGGGCCTGCAACAAAAGTTTCACAATAGTCAATAAGTTAAAAGATGTTAAAAGCAGCTGAAAGAAATGCCTAGTCTTCTTGCACCGAATTGCCCCACGACAAACACAGTGCTGGGCATGTGTATGGGACCTGTATGTACATGTAGAGGGTACAAGAACAAATGTTCCAAACCCTAGCTAGATGTGATTTATCAGGTGTTGACACTTGTTCGGTGCCGTTTTGGAGACGGCTAGTCTGTCTGTCGTTTCTGTCCTGCATCCTCCAGTTTTTTGTCGTTGTTTTTTGAGAGCACCAGGGAATTGGGATGTTTGCCTTTGAATTGATATTTGCAACGTCTTTCTTCAGCTCAGTTAACCCCGCCCTGATGTGGAGCCTCATTTCTGAGTATTCTTCTGATTTTGCTCTTGGATCCGTGTAAGAATCAAGGTCAATCAAAAAACATCTATGAGGTTTCTCACTACTCGGAGGTTACCGAAAATTCGGCGGGAAAGAGTTGCAAAATCTCTGCTGTTGTTTTTTTCAAGTGCTGTTTCTATATGTCAACATCTAGGAACCCTTTCGACTATGTGAAGGGTGTTTGCGTCCTTGCTACAAACATGTTTGATACCTACTAGTTGGTTAGTAACTAGTTGTACTTATCTTAGCTACTAGCTATACCCTTCAACAAAAGGAAAAAGGGCACCCCACCCCCCCACCTGTGAATGAGAGCCTGTCATATCGGCCCTTACTGCGACTTCCCACCTCTGCCTTCTATTGCCCCACGCCTGACAGCGGTACCAGTGCGCTCTATATTTTCCCCCCTAACAATATTGATGTCTTCTTACAGAGGCTGGCTTTCGCCCCCTCCCTCCTCAGGTATACAGCTAACTGAGGGGCGCTTGCCTGTTGTTTGTCTTGTCTTGTAGATGGACTCATAAAGTCGGCGTGCTGCTAAGAGTAGACCGAGGAAAGTTTACTGCCAAGATCACGCAATGTGATTGCTTATATAGCTTCGGGGAAAAACTGCAGTTGTTATGGGGGGAAGTCGACATTGCAGTGACGTCTACTGCTGTTGGAAATAGACAGCAGAATACATAGGTTGGGGGGGGGCCTTGGCTCAAGGGCGTTTTCAAGCTGAAACAGGGCACCCCTAAGGAACTGAGGGGCGCTTGCCTGCTGTTTGTTATTCTTGTCCTGTAGATGGACTCATAAGCTCGGCGCGCTGCCAAGAGTGGACCGATGTTACAGCTAAAGGTCAAGTGATTGTCTAACATCGGACAAAGAGTGCCTTTGTTATGGGGTGAAGTTGACATTGCAGCCACGCCGACCGGTGGTAGAAATAGAAAGCAGAACATGAACTCCCACCCCATATGGGGTGCCCTTTTGCGTCTCGTTAACAGGCCTCTTCACTTTTAAAGGTGAAGAGGCCTGTTAACCAGACGCAAAAGGGCACCTTTAAGCAACAATGCTTGCCCACTGCATTCTGTTCCCTCTCCCGTCCTCAGCGGGTCACATCGTTTCTTGCAGTCCCGTCCCTTCCACTTGTATTAGCCACAAGAAATCAGAGTGTTGCGAGACGCCCATCTCAATCACTTTTCACGTCCTGTTGTCCCCCCTTTCCTGTCCTCCCACCCCTCGTCGAAGACGGTTTAAATGGCCTCCTGAGCCCCTCATGATGCTAATGATGCACTCTTCGGCGTCGATTATATCATTTGTATCACAACACCCCAAAACATACATGTTCACTGCTTTTTCGGACCGCCACTTTTTTTTTTGTTCTCCCCCACCAGTCTCTGGGTTCGCCCTACCCAAATTGTTCCCCTATGCCAACCCCCCCCCCCC